AGCGTTTTGCCCGAAAAATTACGTAATTTTCGTAGCTGGGGGGGCTGCAGCCTCCCTCGCTCCCCCACCACGTACGCCTATGCAAATAGACAGACAGACAGACAGACAGACAGACAGACGAGAGAAAACTCCTGAAAAAAAATACTTCAAAACATTGATTTTCTGGTTACGTTATTGCAATCGTTTTACCACTTTGTCGTTCTATATAAACAAAAGCATGCATTCATTGTTTTATTCACAGCGCAAACGCCGCAGAACACCCAGTCTGGAGTGTGGCTCGGTCTAAACGACATTTCATCGGAGGGAAACTATGTCTGGAGTAACCATGGAAACGGACGCGCTGCGTCATTCAACAACTGGTCTCCAGGGCAGCCAAGCTCGCTAGCTGGTGATGAAGATTGTGTTGTCATGGTTACAGGGGATGGAATTTATCAGAGTCAATGGAAAGTCAAACGGTGTGACGACCAAAATGAGTTTGTGTGTTGGAAAACAGTTTGAGCCAAATACAGCTTGTGAGTGTAGTTGCATTGGCAGATGTAATCACAGTTAAGCAGTCATGGCATCATTGCTAGAGGCAATGGAGGAAGTTGACGTTTCCAGAAGAAATTCTACTGACAGTAGACGTTGATAGCAATCAAATCAGCTCTCCCTTCGAGGCGCGAAAACTCGGCGAAAAGCACTAGAGCTAAACCCTTTGTCTCCTTCGCCAGACTTAAAAAGACTTCGCCAGAGTTACAAATAACGGGCACATAACTGTCCGAGAGAAAACTGATTAGCCTTTTATCCTCCCAAGTCTCTAAGCAGAACAAGTTATAATTATTGGTCGGAAACAGAACAAACGGAAAGGTAACCATACGCAAATAAAGAGTAGACGTGACTCCCACATCGTGGAAGAAAAGAAACGTCATCTAGACTTCGCAAACTCATTAATAACTCATCAAGTTTAAAGAAAGGAAATCATGATCGTGGCGGTGTTTGGATATCCGACCTTAATTAGCACAGATTTCTGCGATTTTGTTTCTACATTTTCTCCTTAGTTTTAGTTTCGATAGAGAAGATATATAAAACACCCATGACCGTGTAGACCACATTTCCAAACACCTCGAAGCTCGTCAAAAATACTCCGGTGCGCGTCTTATTTTCAACTCTATTCTCGGTTTTTGGAAATGTGGTCAAACACGTTCTTTCGTGTTTCATATATTACTATCTAGTGAAAAAAGTCATCATAAAATCACTTACGCTTGTGTGGAAGCAAACATTTTAACAAGAGTAACGACACGAACAATGTATAACAGTGTAAAGTGGAATGTTTATTACTTAAATGTTTTCAAGGTCACCCTATGGAACAATAGATCGTAAAGTTATACTTGACGCTTATCACCCGATAGTTTTGGTAAATTCGGAGGATCATTTTTAACATCAAGAGAAGTGCTAGTTTTGCAACAATTTGGTGTAATAAGGTAGTTGAAAGATATTTCTAAATGATTGGCTGAATTCATTGATATTTCATGCAACAGAGAAAAATGGGTGATTTAGCGCGCTAATTCCAGTAAAGAGCCTCTTTTTAATGAGCGTTCCCCTTTGAGCACCGTTTTCTAATATGCATGCCTGCTTCAATAGTGACAAAGTGACATTATGTACTTTGCGTAATGCTTAGCACCTAAGTCTTATGACTAGACCTTTCACTGAATTTTCACTGAATTTCACTGAATTGCATGCCTAACTTGTATCTTTCTGGAAATTTTCAAAAATCTTCTAAATATATCACAAACCTTTTTTCTAAATATCTCGAAAATTTTTCTAAATTTCTCCCATTTTTGTCGTAAAAATACACTGATTTTTAATCACGTAGAGCAACATTTTCGGGAGTAATAGGAGTTGAGCTCGAGGAAGACGATTCAGGCAATTCGATGTAACCAGCATCCGCCATTTTAGAAAATTGCTACTTTAGCCCTGTCAGTGATAAGAAATACATTTTTTGAGTAGAAAATCACTGAACTGGATTGTTTCTGGCATAGAACAGAGAATTGTATCAAGAAATAGCTAAGAAATCATAGGGCTAAGCCACAAAAAGCTATGAGTATTTCTAAATATCCCGACATTTTTTAAATATCTCGGAGATTTTTAAATATCCCTAAAATATCCGGATGTTTTTGGAAAGGCCTACTTATGACTATGCCAAACCGTAATGTTACAGTTCTTAAGTCACTGTTTTGTATAATAATGATAATAATAACAATGATGATGATAATGATCATGATCATGATCATGATCATGGTAATGATAATGATAATGATAATGATAATGATAATGATAATGATAATGATAATAATAATAATGATAATAATAATAGCCATTAATATAGCGCTTTTTCTATAAATGCTCAAAAGCGCTTTACAGTGTGCGTCGTAAAACTTACAAAACCTACGACAAAATTTACAAGTTCTGTTGTGTTCTACTGTTGTTCATTAAAGTGCCGTATCACATTCTGATTTTCGGCACATGTGCATGCCAATAAGAAGGAAAGGAAAGCCCCACCCGTGGAGGCAGCGTGGCCGAGTTGTTAGGGCGCCGGACGTGAAATCCGGAGGTCGCGGGTTCAAGTCCCGCTCTGACCACTAAGCTGGAGTTGTTTCTCGGGAGACCCTAGTTCAGCTCCTCGGTCATGCTTGTGTATAGCCAACTGATCTGCTTCCCGCCGATTGGGAGTTTTAAGCCTATTACGTTTAGTTGATATATTTGTTTCCTTCATTTAAAGTGGCATGCCTGTGAACTAGCTAGGTGTAGCTAAGCGCATTGACCACTATAAACAACAACAACAACAACAACTCCTAGTAAGAACCCTCAGTTATTAGCACCCTCCTTGAGCTACCAAAGGTAAATCGGCGCACCAGACGCTAGATCGAGACATTATACGCGAATGCTGGAGAGTCATTAAAAGGAAAAGACTTTTCACTACCTTTACAGGTGCAGCATAATTGTTCATTATAAACAATACCACATAAATTTAATTTGATTTGATTTGATTTCATTTGAGTTGTCACAATGTAAATTAATCAGTTACCGAGATTTCTTTCATATAATTACAATGAGGGGAAAATCCTTGTTCAGATTTCATCCTCTTCCCTTCACAGATACTCTGGAGATTGCAATTTATCTTACACCTAAATATGAATATACCCCGTTATAAAAGGAAAAGACTCTTGCTCAACATAATAATCAGAATTTCTTGATAATTCCTATTTCCTAGCGATTCTTGCTTCTTAATATTAGATTTAATTTTCAGTTGAATGATAATCACGTTGTACAGCATAATTAATAGCACAGGTACCAAGGGAAAGTATTGCTCAATAGCTTTCATGTCAGAGGATAAAGCACTAAGATTTCATTATAAACAATACCACATAAATTTAATTTGATTTAATTTAATTTCATTTGAGTTGTCACAGTGTAAATTAATCAGTTACCGAGATTTCTTTCATATATATAATAACAATGAGCGGAAAATCCTTGTTCAGATTGCATCCTCTTCCCTTCACTGATACTCTGAAGATTGCAATTTATCTTACACCTAAATATGAATATACCCCGTTTTAGCTACTAGCCGTTTTCACTCTGAAAATGCATCGAATGTTTTCTTTCCACACTACGCCGGAAAAGGTTGAAAACGCAACAATCACCGGTCGTTTTAGATTTGTGTTTGAGGAAAACTCAGGCTGGGAAATCACATGATGATCGTAACGCCGTCTTTTTCGAAAAGTTCCGTTTTCAAAATTAAAATATTTTCCTTTCACACTAGAACGCAAAGCCGGCGTTTTCAAATTCCTCCGGTTTGAAGAGCGTTTATTTTCGAAAAGCTCCGTTTTCGTGGCGGATTAGGGNCCTTCATTTAAAGTGGCATGCCTGTGAACTAGCTAGGTGTAGCTAAGCGCATTGACCACTATAAACAACATTTGACATTTTTTTTGACATTTGTCAGGGTTGTTCGACCTTTTTGATTATTCTTACCATCTTTTGTTTCTTCAGACTCTGTAAGTTTACCTGAGAGTGGAGTGTGTCCTGCTCACATGATTCCCCAACCATCCGTAGCTGGTTTCTCGAACTCAGTCAAGTTATGCGGTATGTTGCCCTTGCAACTTCGATCATCTTGTAAATTAAGTGAAATATAACTCTTCTTTATGGACGATCCCTATGTTGTGTTACCGAACTGGATTCTAAGTTTTGTATGTGGACTAACGAATAACGTTTTTAGATGATGAATGGACAGAAGGACAGTCAGAATAGCAGACCGTCAGAAAGACAGATAGACAGACAGACAGACAGATAGACAGACAGGCAGAGTGATAAACAGACTAGCTGGCTGACTGATTGAGGAGTGATTAACGGATTGACATACATTTATCGATCTTTCAGTCAAATGTCCTCGTGGAATGAAGTATGATGACGCTCTGAAAGACTGCGTAAACTGCCCAGTGGGCTATATCAGTGAAAAAGAGTCAAGCTTGACTTGTACTCAATGTCCCTCGGGAAAGAACAACACCAAGGAAGGGTCCAAAACATGTATCGGTGAGTAATAACCCTTGATTATGTTTATGCTGAAAAGCAAACTCTATAGAGCAACAAAGATTAAGCCCGAGTACAGTATGATGCTAGAGATTTCAAGAGAAACTTCGAGCATACGAGGTTCCAGGCGTGGAAATTTTGGTCAACTGCGGGCCGCTTTTTATTCGACCAAAAATCATTTCGCAACAGGAAAGATTAATATTGAAATGTCGGCTTAAAACTTCCAGAAAAATCGAAAAATGTGAACCATTCACTAAAATTTGCAAATCCGGGGTGAAAAATTGAATGGAACAGAAACTTTCGTGAAAAGATTTTGGAAAGAGGCTATTCAGTTCTTCACAGAAAATATTTGGAATTTCGCGATTAAAGCCGAATTTTTGGGTAATGTTTTCAAAAGCAACCGATCTCATCAAATGACCTACGTACACCTCTTATAATTGCCAGTGATTACCCAGATATAAAAATCGCACACGTAGTACTCAGAGCTAAATATTCCAGGTTAATTTGAATTCTATTGTAGTGTTTTAAGTATTTTAAGTTGTAAAGCGCTGTTGATCAGTAAATGTAAATAGCACTCTAGAAGTTATTAAATTATTATCATCATCATAATTATTATTATTATTATTATTATTAGATTTTACGTCAACAACTGCCTTATAATGTTTTTTTTTCCCACATGATTAATATCTTTTTTTATTTGTTGCAGATTTGTGTAAGAAAGGGTATTGGTCCATTGATGGTTTTGATTCTCTTGAGAATCAAGCATGCATACTTTGCAGCATAGGAACTTATCAAGACCAGTTTGGCGGGACAGAATGCAAACAATGTCCGAGTGGATATACAACTATATCGGCAGGTTCCACCTCTAAAGACGATTGCGGAAGTAAGATACATTTACATTCGATAGAAATGAACATCTCTACTGCATTAAGTTATTAATTTCGCAAATAAGCCAAGCGCGCGAGAGAATACCGGCCCGAGTTCTTGGCGCCTAGTAAAGACCGAGTGCAGCGAGGTACATACAAAAAAGACCAGGCTGCGATATTCTCTGGGTAGGATTCCGAGCAAGTTTGGTTTATCAGAAGATACTCCCTACATTACTGACCTTTTATTTGCTGTTTTTGTTGTTGTTGTTGTTGTTGTTGTTTTTCAAGAAAGCCTTTGAAACCTTGCGGGATCATTCGAGAAATCTGACTGGTTAATTCTAGTTATTGGCCCTCTGAGCTAAACTGTACGTGTATGCATATTCTTATGTTGAATAAGTGTGTCGTTCGTGTTATATGTATGATTACAAATATATCAGACGTTTGCCTTTAAAATTGTTCGTTGCTCTTTTCAAGTCTATTAAACGGGATACGTTTTAAATAGAACTCGACATTTAGACCAAAAGAACGGCTTTAAATCGAGTGTCCTCAAACCAAAACCAAACAATATTGTTCCATGCAATCGCAAGAGTCACAGACAATACAGCGCACGAATCAAAACTCGGAGTAATTACATACCACTTACCCAAAGCGCGGGAAAACGTAAGTGCGAACGATTGGTTTTGCTTTTACTTCTGATTGCATAAAAACTGGCCCTGTGTGAGTGAATTTCTAAAGACAGTCGTGTAGCGCAGTCAGGGCAAAACAAATTACTTCTCGACACTCGAATGAAAACCACTCTAGTCACAAAATATTTTTACAACGTTTTATTTTTTATGATGTATTTTAACGCTCGTTTTATACAGCAAGGCCTACAGTGTCGTCCTTTGGACCTCCCTCCATGGTTATAGAAGCGGATGAAAATGGCCGGGCGGAGTTCGAGTGTATGGCAGCTGGGCCTCCAACACCAAATTTTGTGGTAAAAAAGACACAAGAAGCACCAGGTAAGTTGTTGAATCAACGAATCGATGTCCTCAAGCATTGATAATCGTATGAACACGAGTGCCATCAAACGTTTATTTATTTACCTATTCGAACGTTCATAGAAATTTTATGAGTTTTAAGAACGCGCTTGCACCGTTTGCGTTACGTTGCAGTGCAGTCCAAACTAAAAATAAATGATATTTTTTACTGCACAATGAACTGATTTTCTTCGTCATATGATAAGTCAAGTATAACCATTGCACTGGATTATAAAGAATTCCATTTGCATGCCAACAAAATCATTTGAAAAATAAAATTTGGTTCCATATGTTTCGTGCAACATTTTACCTCATGCATTTTGACGAGATAGGCTGTCACTTGGCTCGATCAAATCAGGGAGCAGTATTGTACGTATCCAGCTGTATCTAAAGAGAATGAGTTGAGTCACTAAATGTTTTATAACTTGTTATAATACTTCCAGAGGGATATGAGGGGCCTGTGAGAGTGGAGTACATCACGTCAGGCAGCGTCACCACAGGAGTGCGTTATATCATTCTTAGCGTGATGGAACATGATGCTGGACTGTACTCGTGTACCGCAACTAACACGTTTGGTTCGGATACAAAGCACCTCACACTAAAAGTGAAATTGGATTTCGGCTCAGGAGGTGGTGGCTCAGGTGAGACAAATGAGGCAACAATTATCGCAATTTAGGATACTTTATCAAGGTCCTAAAGCTGATTTGGCCTGCTGCTTTCTTTTAGAAGTCTCCTCGCCCTTTCAAAGTTGTTATTGTACATTGTTATTTTGTTGTGTGGCAAGTAAATAAAAAGATGATGGTGGTAGTGGTGGTGGTGGTAGTGGTGATGATGATGATGATGATGATAGCTTCATTACTCAGGTTTTCTTGTAATAACTATTTACCTGTTTTAATTTGGCATTGTTAAACTGGGACATACTGTGTCCCAGTTACCTACTGTCCCTTAGTAATCTCGCCAGTCCGTAACTTTGCTTATTCAACTTGCTTTAGAAAGAAAAAAAAAAAAAGCATCGTTAGCTGGTGAAGGCAAGGAGGTATCAACTAAACACAAACATTGAGTAAAGGATCTTTCATCTGGATGACATTCTTGATTTCTTGATATCGGTCAACAAATCATGTGCTAAACTGTGATCCATTGTCATCCTTTTAATCCCGTCATTCTTCCCCAATACACTTTTTTTTTTCATTTTGCTCTGTTGAATCTTTTTATCAAAACTATTTGCTTATTTGTCGCCATACGGCAATGGAATAGGTGGTTTGCAATCATTCCCAAGAGATTACCCTGGCAGTAATGTTGGATAATAGCAACAATAAAGCTAATTAGAATTCTGGTTTTAAAGGTCATCCAACATGGCGGTAATGACGTCAGTTGCAAACGACCTATATAGAGGTTGGGAAAGGTAATTATTGATATTTAGCAAATATACAATGGACCTTTTTTACGTCTCCTTTTAGGGACAGGCCGATAGATGAAGATCGACAGTA